ACACCTTTCTGGCAAAGTGGTGTCTGTAATAGAGGATTCACAGGGAGACACTCCTTGGCTGAGGAAACCTTAAATAATGAAACGATTGGAGCAGGAAGGTAATAGGATAGAACATGCATTAAGGAGCTTGATAATCGGATAGGGTTAATGTTAACTACCATGTGTAACCTGTGAGTTGTTGTGTAGCAGGAGTGATGAGCTCAGGGGTGATTGGTGTGTGTGGGGAGGGTTGCTGGTGGTCGGTGTTAGTGTGTACAGGTGCTCCTTGGTGATTTCCAGGACATCAGTAAGAAGCCTGCTGCAGTTTAACTAGGCTGATACTTGTATTGTAAAGTGGGTGTAACACAGAAACTCTTTGGGGTCCTGCTTTGGCTGGGAAGTGATGCTGCTGGAGTGTGGAGCTGTGCTGGGATGGTGTTTGAGGGGGGAGAAGTGCACAGAAGAAGCAACTGTAAGATGAAATTACTAATAAAGCCTGGGCCATCAGCAGAGCAGCCTCAGCTGCAAAGGAGGGGAGTGAGCTCTTGTAGGAACATCAAAAGCAGGTTTTTATCTCGGAGATAAGACAGCCTGGCGTTGGTAGCACGTCTTGTTCCAGAGCTCTCGCTTTAGCTCCACAACAACCAGCTTTTTCAGCCTTTTACTTATGTCATAATTTATCCCTCTGCAAATAGGACTGTTAGTTCTTAAATATTTTAAGGTTGTGGAGTGGCTTCACTAGTAGTTTCCATTCACAGAGGAGCCTGTTTCTTGAGCTCTGTCGCCTGTGTTAACTGGGCTGTGAAAAGGTGGTGCTGCTTAAGGGGTGTCTCTTGCTGTTGTTGTCTCAGTGCTGGTGTTTGAAGCAGCACAAATTGCTGCACAACATTTACCTTTAATTATTTAAGTACAGAGAAACTTACCTGTTCAGTTCTTTTCAAAGAAGTGCCATCCACATGGGACCTTGCTCGCCTGGCTCCTGCCTGTCTTCGTGTGTTTGTAGCTACTGAGTCATGTTTGCTGAGCCCTCACCTCCGGGCGATGGTTGGTTTGGTGGTGGTACACCAGGAGTGTGCAATGCAGGGACCTGCAGCCCAGGGACATGGGCACCAGTTCAGCTTTCGGTGAAAACACACCTTATGGCCAGGGTAGGTCGAATCAGTCTGTTTCTATGCAATAATTGATTTTAAAGGCATGGCCTCCAGTTCTTTAGGTTTTTGTCAACTCCTGTTCTTATGCCTCCTATAAGGCAGAGCATGTGCTACTGGTTATTTTTAGCATGGAACATTTTAAGGGCCCACGTGGTCCCATCTAGTTTGAACTCTGCCAGCCTTGTCCAGTTCTCTTTCACCCAGACAGGATTTATTTCCCGAGTGCTCTGTCACTAACTGTAGGGTCTGCACAGAGTCATCCTGCCTCTGCTGTTGAAGCTGCGCTTCCAATTTAGCCGCCTGCTCGTTTGCTCTGTGATCCTTCAGGACGGTCTTTATTCCAGCCTTGATTTCCACTGCTTTTGGGGTTTGGAAGCGCAACCTCTCAAGTGCTGGGGCAGGAGGGAAGCGGAGGAGGCAGAGACCGGCAGCACTGTGGGGAACGTCCCTGCAGGGCATGGGGGCTCCATCATTTGGGAACAGTCCTTGTCTCTCTCCTAGAGACTGGAAGCAGCTTGCCCCCAGAACAGACCTTCCTGTGTGTGGAAAGCCCTGGAAATCTGGAGTGAGTGCCTGCTGCACTCTCCTCTTGGACCTTGAGAATGAGTTATCTGGCTTCTCTGTGAACCTCGTGCTGCAAACATTTCTAACCTTATACGGATGTGTTTGTGCTGGCGAGAGAAACTGCTCTGGGATCCTAATGTGAGCAAGTAGAATAAGTTGACTGTCCTTGCCTTTCTTTTGTAAGGTAGGCGAGTGTGTGGGTTCATTCTTGTCCTCACCCCCCTGATCTTTACCAGGAGTTTTCCATAAATCAAGTCAGGATACAGATTTGGAGAGCTGACCGACCCCTATTCTCCCCTTGGTGTCTTAATCCTGCCCTGACCTACTGTGGGGATTATTTAGCAAGTTGGACAAGCCTCATGCCCTCGCTGCAGCTCCCTGTGCCTTGATACAAGGTGTGACATTTCGAGTGGATTCCTGGCGTGCCAGGAGGAAGAAGTGGAAGAGGCTCATGGGGCAGGGCAGGCGTGTGCAGTGTGCGAGCTCTGCACGGTTCCTGGGGCAGGACTTGGAGCCCTGCGTGTTGGGGAACGGCACTGGGGCATCCAGTGTTCACGCTGGTCCTGGCTTCTACGGGCTGCTTGTGTGTAGCCCAGAGCCTCGGGAGCTGCTGCGCTTCCCCAGCTGGCTCCTCCTGCCTGGGGAGCGCAGGGGCTGCCGGGCTGCACTTCTCCGGCTTGGCACCGCTTGAGGCCATGTGATTTGACAAGTTGCCATGTTCTGTTCTGCTGCTGGCAGGAGAATCCCGGGCTTGCTTCCCCCTCCGTGTGTCTAAATGATCCCTTTGCTCCCGTGGTCCTGAACTGGCTGTCGAGTTGGCAATGGAGAGAGGGTTTTGTTGCTTTTAAACCTGTTGGAAGAACAGATGTGGGCTGCAGGAGTGCCCCTGTGGAAGAGGGGAAGAGAAGTATGTGCTGCATCCTGCAACTGCTGGGTTGAGCAGGTTAAAAATCGGCTGTCTTCAAGGCATCACATGAAAGTGGTGGTGTGACCAGCATATTAAAATCGGGCCACCAAAGTCTTCCTGTCGTGTTTATGCAAGGAGATGTTTGTTAGTGCTAGCTGCCCCCTGGCCAGCCCAGTGCTTTAGGATGTCTGCTGGTGCCTTGTGCAGAGCCACTGCATTTTGTCCCTTTCTAGCTGATGGAGGGATGTGGAATTCCCATTTAACACATCACTGGTGGTATAATGCAGCTCTTGCTGAAACTAGTCGAATTAAAAGCATGAAATGAAATGAGCTTTGCAAGGAGCAGGCAGCTAACCCACCATTCCCACTGGCCTAAACGTCACAGTGGAGATCTTCAGCTTAAATGATGTTAATGTTTAAAAGGACTCTTGGAACTGCTTTGTCTGCCAGGCTTTGGGACGGGCCTGGCCCTCTGAGGGGCATCCTGCTACTGTCTCCCTGCCCTGCAGAATTGTGTGGGACCATTGTTTGTACAGTTGGTGCAACTTAATAGGGAATGGGATAATAATAGGGCTGTCTGTTTAATCAGGGAAGCTTGCTGGGAATGGACTTGTGAGCTACTTTAATTTGAGTTTGTGGTGCACTGTGGGACAGCTTGTGGGGTGGTTCTGCATGAATTACAACAACTTGAGCGGGCAGCAGATGAGCACTCGCGGTCACTCACAATGTGCCATTGTGCTGGGGAGCAGAAATGGGTGTCCTTTGTCTCAGGAATGTATGTACAGGCTTCACCCTTTCTGTCTGCCACCTTCCAAAAACCAAACATCCAAGTTACTTCATCGATTTCTTGTTCTGGTTTTTAATTCCAAGTCTCAGATGCTGCTGTTACCTGAAAGTTCATCCTCAGCAGTAAGCCCTGCTGCCTGACTGGGAGCATCTCGGACTTAAAGATACCAGACATGAGTGTCACAGAGTGAACAAGACCCAAGTTTCCTGTGTAGAACCACAGTTGTGATACACTGGAGATGTTACTGGACTTCTGAAGTCGTGTCTGCAGCTGAGCTTTGATTTGGGGTTGAGCAAGATGTTTTCTAGTCTCTGTTTCTGCCATTCATTTATTCACTTGCCTCAGCCAGGTTGGACGGGGCTTGGAGCAAGCTGGATAGTGGCTGTTCTAGTGGAGAGTGGATGACCTTTAAGGTCCCTTCCAACCCAAACCATTCTGTGAGTGACTGTATGACTCCGCAGCAAGCAGCACAGAAGCCAGGCTGATGGAGGTGTGTGTTTGCTCCTGTGGGACAGGAGGTTGTGGCTGGAGGAGGTGAGAAATCTGGAATGTGTATTAAATGCCGCAGGTCTCGGACGCTCAGTTTGGGTCTGAGGGAGGCATGGTTTTGTCCCTTAGCTAGGATGTAGTCAGCTGCTGTGGAAATCAAGGCCCTGAAGGAGGTATCTGGAAGCTGTGGTCAGGAGGCTTGCTCTGATAACAAAAGGGTTTTTCCTGGTTGAGACAGACAAAGCATAGTCGAGAGACTGACTTGATTGTCTTGTCTTTTTATACGTATTTATACTTCTAAAGAGGAACTAGATAATACTCTTTTCCTGTGTGTGGTTCCCATTTCTAGGACTTTATCTCCTGGAGAAAATCTTTATTGCTTATTGGCCAAAGTCTTGGGGCCCGTTTGGAGAACGTTACTGTTGTGTGCAAGCAGTGGCAGACACGTGGGTTCTGCTTTCATTCCTGCCCAGTGAAAATATAAACTGAGAGCACTTTACACTCTTTGTTTTGGGGATGTGGGTGACTTTAGCTCTGTGTGCCAGCTATAGGCTTTACTTAAGGAAAAGGAAAGGCCTCTCAGCCCTTCCTCATCTAACGTGTATGAGGAGCACGAGTCCCAGTGGTGTCCAGGCAAGGAAGGGTTCATGCACTTTCTGGAATAAAAAAGACTACTTTGAGCTCGAAAGTCAGAGGAGTGGCAGCTGTCCATGTAGTGAGTTTAATGTGGAACACACTTGTGGTCCAGGGTGGTGTGACCCCAGCCTGCTGCTGGAGAGACTGCAGGGCTGGCTGCTGGCCCTGTGTGTAGCACTAACCTGCAAAGGGGAGGCAGGGGCAAGGTGAAATGGGCTTGAATGTAAAGGGGAGGTAAGGCAAAACTGGTGGCTATAATGGTGAGAAGTGTCCAGGCATCCCTGGTCTTAGGTAAGGATCTTGTTCTGTGGTCTGCTGGTAAAGCAGAGAAGTGAATTGAAAGAGCAGCTGGAAAACAAGCCTGTTCCTGCTACTAGAAATACCTCAAGGCATTTATGAAACTTGAGTCTTCCTGTTCCCTTCCCTGTGACTATTGTAACAAGTTTTCTGTTTCTCCTTCTAGGTATAATTGCTGAGGCTTTCTAAAATGTCTTTATGCTTCCGGAATTTCATCCCATATGCCATACCTGGAGTGCTGGCACTTCTTGGCTGCTGGTGGATCTATTCCCATAGAAAAAAGCATGGAACCTATCGAGATGAACAAGCAGTAGCCACTGAAGAGCAGCAGGAAGAAGTGACAGAGCAGGATTCAGCACCCAGAACAGAACCATGTGTTCCTCAAAGACCGTTTTCCTTGCTGGAAGAGGAATGCACAGAGAACAAAACCTCGACCTCCCTGCTGTCAGCAGGGTTGACGGTGCCCTCTCTTATGTGTCAAAGTGATGAGAGGCTGGGTCTCTCACCAGACCTGCCAGTAACAAAAATTCAGCCCAGCACCCTTGAGGACGACAGTGAAAAACTAGAAGAAACAGGATCTCAAGACGAAAGCAGCGTCCCTGCTTGTGTTTCTCTCCCTTTGGAGTCTGCCTGTTCGGAGCAGTCAGGGGAAGAAGACGTGCCCAGGTCAGTTGCCAGTACTGTACCTGTGTGTCAGGAGGAGGAGGACACGCAGCCAAAAGGAGATGAATTGGGAGGAGAGAAGACTAGAGGAGTGAGTTTGTGCAAGGAAGACATTGAGAAAATTGAGCAAGTGACAATACAGATTGTTTCCAAGGTCATTTTGGCAGCAACTGAGGAAGTGCTGTCAGGTGCTGCAAGTGATGGGTCCATTCAGATCTGCCAGGCTGCTGCCAGTCGAGGTGAGACACCTCTGGACATGGCAAGTGGTGTTTCCTCTCATCAGATGCTTGCAGAAGAAGCTCCAGTAGCCAGTGAGAACATTGTGGAGAGTGATGCTGTGGTAGCAGCATCCCCGCAGGCAGAGGAACAGGATCAGAACGTGGCGCGTTCAAGCTGTTTAACGCGTGGCTGTTTATCCAGCCCTGCACAGGGAGGCACAAAAGACTGTTGGCTGAAGAGCCCTGTGTGCAGTGAGGGGGTGCTGTCTGCTCCTACAGGTGATGGGTCCACTCCGCTCTGCCAGGCTGCCGCCAGCCAAGTTGAGACACCTCTGGAGATGGCAAGTGCTGTTTCCACTGATCAGACACTTGGAGATGAAGCTCCAGTAGCTGGTAAGAATGCTGCTGGAAGGAGTGATGCTGCGGTACTGACATCCCCACAGGCAGAGGAGCAGCATCAGAATGTGACATGTTCAAGCTGTTTAACACAAAGCCCCGTTCAGGGAGCCACAACAGACTGTCGGATGAAGACCCCTGTGTGCAGCGAGTCCCAAGGAGGTGGTTGGACTCCTGTGGAAAACCACAGAGGGTCTCTGGAAAAGTCACCTTTGGTTAGGGAGGGCTCTGGGTGCAGCACATCCACACCGGAAGGTGGGACATGTGTGGAGGGCCCGTTGCAGAACACAAGGCTGGCTGTTGCATCAGGCCAGTGTTCAGAGTCACTGAGCGTACCTGCAGGCCGAGCCACGTGTGCTGAGCAGAGCTCCGGCCCAAGTGAAACTCATCCTGCTCTGAAGCTGCCTGAAGACAACAAAGTGCCATACAGCAATGGGGTACTGAGGGAGAATGGTCCAGACCTGTGCAGTGAGTGTAGCAGTGCACCAGGGGTAGATGGAGATGGCCCACAAGGTAAGAGGTTTGAAAATCTCCTACACAAACATGGTGAACAAGCATTTTATGTGCTGTAACCCTCCTGCTTCAGAACATGTGCAGATAAATCTTCTTCATGTTTAATTTCCCCAGTAAATGACTTTTTAGCCCTCAGGTGAAGGTGGGTCTGCATTTGCTCTCAGGATTCCCATCTCCAGGATCCAATGTTAGCTGGGTGATCTTCAGGGTATACTGCAAGGAGGTGAACAGGCTGGTCCCTGTTCAGCACAAAGCTTATTGTCTACAGCTGAGCATGTTCTGGAGTAGCCCAGTGACATGGACTGTGTCTGGGTGTAGGCCAGGCTGTAGGAGACCTTGCTGGTTTGAGACCTGCTCATCCCAATGGTTTCTGCTTCAGTTCCAGCAGCCTCTAGCAAGCCCTGGGCTCATCTCTGTCTGTGAACTGCTGCTGGAAGGAGCCATGAGGCAGGTTTCTGAGGTGCTGGGGAAGTGCTCTCATGGACTGTGATAAAATCAGTTGGTTGCAGACCAATTACCCTGAAGCCTTTCTGCTTGGAAGGGCAGGTGCATGCCAAGAAATCCCAACAGGGGGCAGTGGTCATGGAGTTTCCCCATCTGTGTGTGTTGCTTTTGCCTTCTAGATCCTGGATGATGTGTGCGTGGCAGAATGCAAAGCTGTCTGAGCCAATGTTAACCTGTGTGACCTTGGGATGGATGTTAAAGCCCTTTATGAGAGCCTGTGGTGCCAATGGCCCTTAATAACAGGATCTCTTCTATAATTGCTACAGAGTAGTTGGAAGGCTCCTTGTTGCAAAACGTGGGGATTGAGATTGCCAACAATTAAGGATTAAACCCACAGAACATTTTCTCTAGTGGATGCTGCTGTAGGAAGACAGTGGCTTTGCCTTGTTGTGAATGCTGGTGTGACAAAAAGGTACAAGAGTGTTGTGGAGCCTGGTGGCAACAAGGGCTGAGAGCTCTGCACCGGGAGAGCTGAAGGGCAGGGAGAGGGGATAGAGCAGGGCAAGGTGCTCCAGGGGTCACACAACTGAGTCTCACCGCCTGGCTGTGGGGCTTCCATCCTCATCCTTGTTTAGGATGAGCCTTTCATCCTTGCCTTTGACTTTCTATGTGTTTGTGCTGTGTTGCTAGTTAAGATGTGGCAAATGTGAGGCAGCCATTGGGTTCATTTGTCTCTTTGGCCCTGCACTGGGTGGCCTGAATACTTGCAGGCAAGTGAGGATCTTCATGCTCCTGCTTGTTAATCTGGAGGAAGGATCAGCCACGTGTCACACTGACTGTACCTGGGATCTGACCAGGAGGAAGATGTTTGGGTTTGTCCCCTTCCCAAGTAGAAATGTTCCTGTTATCAGCTGATGGTTTGGGAAGAAGCCGGAGCGTGGCTCTGGCACCTTGCTTCAGGCATATGACAGGTTTGGGCAAGAGGCAATCCTGTGCCACCACTAGTAGTGGAGCACCCCTGGCACTCAGGTCCCTGTGCACCATCTGCTGGCGCAGGAGTGTAATGTCAGCGCAGAGAGCAGAGGAATAGGTCCCTCCTTGGCTGCTGAACTCCCTGTGAAGAGCCCTGCCCAGGCCATGGATAGAATGCAGAATTCCTTGGGCAGCAGCGAGCTCTCGTTCAGCCGGTACCTTTGACTTGTAGCGTCTTTATCTCAACTGCTGTGTAGGGGGTCACCGTGTTTGAGGGGTGGTGGCTGAACTCGGGCTGCCTCCTGTGGCATTCCCAAAGGTGTGCAGGCTTTTCTCCAGGAATAAAAGGGAACTTTCAGGAGGCTGCATGTGATGGGACTTTACCCTTTCTGACCCACTGGAGAACCTGATGCAGGAACACCCGAGTGAATGCATGGGTAGAGCTCTATGTAACCTCTCTATGAAATGATGCCTTCTCATGGCTTTGTGTGAATGCTGACACGTGTGTATCTTGCAGGGCTGGATGAACATGGTATGGATTTTGTGGACAGTGGCTGTGCCATGAAGAAGACAGTGACTCAGCAGAACGCTAAACTAGGGAGAGAAACCAGCAAGTGTGACCACATCATCTGGGAAATAGAGGTCCCGAAGGTAAGCAGCTGCTGGCCTGCTCCTGCGTCCTGCCCTGCCCTACACAGCCGTCTTCTGGCCCTTCCTGGCTGGTGCTGGCTTGGGGACATCTTGGGGACATCAACAACAGATCGAGGGTTTAAGTGTTTGGCTCCCATCAGGACTTGGCAGGAGCGAAGAGCCAGGACAACATGGAGCACTCGGGGCTGTTGACCTCATTATTCCCTGTGATTTCCACCCCGATCTGTTGGTCTGGTGCTTTGAAAGCATTCAGAAGGCTTTGAGGGGACACAGTTACTAAGAGCAGGCAATGAAATAAGCTGCAGAGAACAGTGTTGTTTGATCAATATTTCTCTTGCTGACTGTTGCTTTCTTGTCCCTTTCATAAAGGAATTAGTTGGCCGCTTGATCGGCAAACAAGGAAAATTTATGAGCTTCCTGAGGCAGCAATCTGGTGCCAAAATCTATGTCTCGACACAGCCTTATTTCCGTGACTCCCAGGTCTGTCACATCGAAGGTAAGTGGAAAGTCTCTTAATTCATGGTCTAATATGTAGCTTGGGGGCCTTAATTAGATGGGCAAGGAGTTTAAACAGATTTAGTGCCTCTGAGTCCAGTGCTTTACAAAGCTTTCTGCTCAGTGCTGTTACAGTGGAGGTCTGTGCCAGGTCACTGGTGCCTTGGCACGTGAACCCTCTGTTCTGGAGGTGAGAATGTGTTTTAACATCTTCATCTGCTGTAGTTTAACCAACACCTTTTGCAGGATCACTTCAGCCTTGGAGGAGGAGCTATGGGGTATGTATCAGCTCATGTTGGTCTCATACCAGATCACAAGGCAAATCTATTAAAACTTAAGTTGTTGCTGTAGTGCAGAAGGCTTCTGGTAGCTGTATCGGTTCACTTGGCAAGGTTGGGGTGTCCTCCCCGTATCTGTGCTACAGACCTTCTGTGGGACTTTTGTCTTCCAGGTTTCCCACATCAAGTAGAAAAAGTACTGAGCCTGATTGGCACGAAGTTCAAGGAGCTGTGTCTCGCCAACATCCACGGTCTACCTCCACCAGCACCACTGACACTTCATTCCCTCCTTATGACTGCCTGGGTGAGTCCCAGCTTGCTGGCTGCACTGACACTGGGGCGGAAGGCTGTTGCTGGTCACTGCATTGTAGGATGCTGTATCCACATAGCTGGTTCACAGATGCCCTCAAGCCCAGTCTGATTTTGTGTGGCTGGTTGTTGTCCAGCTGATTTAACTGTTAGTAGATCAGATTTATCTACCTGCTCTTCCACTGCTGTTCCCATTCTGCCTGTAATAACTGCACACACACTGAACTGTCTCCTTTCATGTAAAGACAGGCTTTGTTCTGGAGAATTGAATTTATGCTGGGAAATTAGAGGCATTTTGGATGTATTCCAAGCACAGTAATGCTCAGAAGCTGCCCAGCACAATGGCTCTCTAGCAGCCAGGGCAAATGACTTTGAAAACGAGGCCTCTGTGACAAATCTTGGACAATCCCTGTGAAGATTACCTTGATGTTTAAACCCCCCATGGGCCGGGAGTCCTGGCAAGTGCACAGTGTTGATAGTGCAGCATGGCTTGACCTGCATCATTCCTGACTCTGTTCACTGATCTCTTGGGTAAATAAGTCTTACGGCTGCTCTGTGCTGATAGTCTTCTTGGGTATAAGATGGGCCCCAGCTCAAGTCTGATTTCCTTTAGAATGCATGGAGTTAACAGGGGGTAGCTTTCTGCTCCGGATCCAAAGCAGCCTTTGGAAGTGAAATACCAGAGTGCCATGGCTGTAAGCCTCGGGAGGTGCTGGTGAGCATGGAGTTGTTGTGGATGAAGCTTGTGTTACAGTGAACGCTAATGGGAGGGTCTTTCCTCCACATGCCAGCTCTTCCTCCCGGATGGAGTCACTGTTGAGGTGGTTGTGGCTCATCAAGTCGATGCAGGGCACATGTTCCTGCAGCAACACACACACCCCACTTTCCATGTCCTGCGGAGCCTTGACCAGCAGATGTACGTCTGCTACTCTCAACCTGAAATTCCAACCCTGCCTACTCCAGTAGAAGGCAAGTAACTTGGTTGCTCACAAATTGTTCACTTGAGAAACTTCTAGGGTCATGTGAAAGGCTGCTGCCCCTGGGTTAGGCTTGGGAGGTTTCCCAGGGCGTGAGATTGTGATAGTTCACTTGTCATTTCATTTATTTGGTTTCCTTATAGGTAGAGCACAAGTGTTGCTCTATTCTTCCTTACCCCACTCATCCCTGAGTACCTCCCCAGCCACTTAGTGCCCATTGAAATTCAGAAGGAGATAAGTCAGTCTTGGGTTATTTCTTATCTACCTGGCACCTGGTGTAATTTTGCTGACGAAGTGTGGAACTACTCCCACATCTTCATAGTGTCACTGTCTGCACATGATGTAAAGTGGAGGGTGCATCACATGGAAAGGAGTTGTTAGTTGTAACTAATGCCTGAAGTGCTGATTTCTGGAAATCCATTGAGCTTTCTTCTCTGTACCCTTATGTTCTGCAGTTGGTATTATCTGTGCAGCTCCAGGCCTGGATGGGGCATGGCTACGGGCTCAAGTTATCAGCTACTTTGAAGAGACCAGTGAAGTGGAACTGAGATACGTGGATTATGGAGGATATGACAAAGTGAAGGTCGACACACTCAGACAAATCAGGTCTCTAGCTCCTCTTCCATGGCCTGAGGCCATATCTGGCTTGAATCTTCATCAGAGGCATCTGTATTGTTTGAATTGCTTCTAGTTTTTTCCACAGCTGAAGTGGGAATTGGTAGAAGGTTTGTCTCAGCAGCTGGGGTGGGAGCACAGCAAGCTCTTGCAAGGCTTTTTTTGAAGGGGAGGGAAGAGGAAATTGTGACTTCTACCACTTGAGTGTGGCAGCTGAGCAAAAGGAGGCCCCAAGGTGTAGTTAGTTGATGAGCTAGGAATAAGACTGGGATTCTCTATGTTCCAGCCCCACTGGCTGGGAGAGTTGTATTGGATGAGGGTTTTCTTACACAAGCTCATTAAACACTTGATTGTGCCCCAGAGGTGGAAGGAAAACAGTCCAGCCTCCGTGGTGGAGCTGGTTTTCGCTTGGAGCCCAGTCCAGCCTGGCATGCTCATCAGACAATGGATTGCTGCTGCTTACGTTGCTGGGAGGGGTTCTTTACTGTCATCAATTTTAAACTAAATCCCTGTTAGACCAATTGATTAATCAATGTCACCTTAAAGAACACAGGACTGACTTAAAGCCCTGTTCTGATGGATTCTCTTTCCTCTAAGGTCTGACTTTTTATCGCTGCCTTTCCAAGGAGCAGAAGTTTTACTGGACAACGTGGTGCCGCTTCCAGGTAATGGAGCTCTTGACACGTACCGTTGGCGCTCCTCCTGCGGTGTCAATGGGTGCCAATTGTGCAAGCAATGATTGTGCCTGAGCCTTCTCCCTCCTATTGCAAGCACAGCCTCGGATGTGGCTAGAACAAGGATTGGAAAAAATGAATTTGATTCTTCTAAATGTGCCTGCATGGCAGAACCTGTCAGGCTCCAGGGGACAGATGATGAATGTCCAGGCTTTTTCCTGCTTGGAGGAGAGAATGAATTACTCTCCTGAACAGCAAGTTGGCAGGACTGGCAGTGTATTATGTGAAGTAGCTGTAACTACTCTGCCACCTTCTGTCATAAAGTAGCTGTAAATGCAGGCTTAGTTTTTAATCTGTTAAACAAATATCTGACACTTTCCTACTAAAATGACTGATGTGTGTGGTTCTGTGTTCAAAATGCTGCCCTCCAAGCACTGGCAGAATGTCAGTCGCTGCCTGGAAATGCTTCCTGTTTTGTTGTTTTCCCTGTTTCTCATGGTGGGAGAGATGCCTGCTGCCTGGGAGTCTAAAAAGCCGCCCTGGGTGTGGAAGGGGTGGCTGTAGGAGCTGGAGGTCAGGCCGGACAGGTAGTGTCCTCAGGGTCAGTAAAGTCCTGAGGCCCTTGAGCTTAGTTATTAAGGATCAAAATACTAATGACAGCTCAAAGGTACTGCAGATACACACTTTTCTATCTTTAAAGCCTCCTAATTTGTCAGCCACTTAAATTCATATTAACTTAGCTAGTGGCTTTGGAAAGCACTTCATTCTTCCCTTCAGCAACACAGCAGGCATAATGCTTGTGTGATCTCCAGCTTAATAGACTGGTTTCAGCAAACACATACAGCAACAGTGGGTGAGGATTCTCTGGCCTAATGGATGTAGGAGGTCAGACAAGATGAGCTTAATAGTCCCTTCTGGCCTTTAAAGCCTGTGACTCTCGTTTGTTTTCTCCTGCTCTTCTCTTTCCCAAGATGAGGATCACTTCTCCCCTGAAGCTGATGCAGCTGTTGATGAGATGACCAGAGGTGCAGTCCTTGTGGCGCAGGTACGTGGGAGCTGTTGGGAAAGTCTTGCTGCTGATGGTGCTGCTGCTGTGACCCTCTGTGCCCCCCCCATCCTGTGTGAGTGAAAACAGACAACAGAGCCAGAGTCTGGCTGCTGGGCAGGGTCTTGCTGATAAATCGTGGTGCTGAGGACTTCCTTGTGTAGCATCAATCACCACTCGGGGCTGTGTGCCTGGGAAGGGATGAGTATTTCCTCTTGTGAGTGATGTGGGCAGAGAGGAAGGGCACTCATTCTGGCCAGGGCATGGATTTGAGTGATGAGAGTGAACTTGCCCACAGGGTGTCCCAGCTACTGCCTCCAGTAGTAGCTACATTTCCTCCAGCCTACACACAGGATGGGGTATCTGACAGGCAATGAATGATGCTGGCCTTGCATCCATCATGGCTCACACCAGAGCTGCTGCCCACTCTTGTTTTTCTGTGTTTCCAGGTCACAAATTATGACAGTGCAACAGGACTGCCACTGATACAGCTGTGGAACTTGATGGGCGATGAGGTGCGTGCGTTGACATACCTGTTTTGTTGTCGCTATTGGAGTTTATGATAACGCAGACTTTGTATTGCTTAGGAACTTGCTGATGTGTTTTTCTAGTGGTTTGTTCACCTTTCTACTTTTTGTTTTCTTTCTTTTTCACCTCCCTTTAGGTGGTGTCCATAAACAGAACTCTGGTGGAAAGAGGGCTTGCTCGGTGGCTTGACTACTAGCAATGTCCTACCATTTCCCTAGAAACACATACCTCATCTCGGTGAAAGGCGGGGTGTTAAAAGCCATAATGACAGATACTGTAGCTTTAAAGCAAAAAACCCTCCCTGGCCTCTACTCAAAAGCTGAATGGAGAAAAAAAATCCTTAAAACCTTAGGGCTCGCTCGAAGGTAGCAAATGCCCCTGAAGCTGTGGTTGTGTTTTGTTCCAGATGTATAATGCCCATGAACTTAGTGTCTGCTTTTCCTTCAAAGTTACATTGGTTGTCCTTTTTTAACAGGCTCTGCCTATGAAATTAATGAATGTGATTAAGGAATTAAATGTTCAGTTATGGATTTCTCTATATTGTGCCACTAACCTGCACAAACAATATTCATCTTGTGTCTTCCTTATGCCAGGAGGTAGATGAATTGCATTCGTTGCACTTACTGGGGCACATGTCTCACTGCAGTCGTGGTTTTTAGGCTTGATATGCTTAAGGAAGAAAGCTGCTCTGTGCAGATGCTTGAAGGCAGGATATGTTACCACTACAATTTTTGCTCTGAAATGACATGTATTTAAAGAAAAGAACTGATTGCCGAGCCCTATTGTAGTTTATATTTTTCTAGCTGTGCAAGTCTGTAAATATATATAAAAAAAAACAACATTGTAATATTTTGTACAAGAAAAACACTGGAAACAAAGGGAACTTTACAGAAACTTTTTCACACCAAAATGTCCTCTGTAGGTAGAACTGGTTTGGAGTGCATTAGAGTAGCCAATATCTTTGGAGCATCTGAATGTTGGGAGTGTTTCAGCTCTGCTGTATACAAGATTAGGATTCCCTTAGATTGCTGTCTGGTTGGAATTGTCATCACTGCATTCTTTGCTATGTTGCTGTACAGTTCTGTTTAAAAAGAAAGTAATAACTTGGCATTAAAGCTGCGGTGGTGTTCTCCTCTCTTTCCTTTTTTTTTTTTTTTTTTTCCTTTTTTCTCCTTTATAGATTTCTGTGACATATTTAAAATTTTGCTCTGACTTAAAATTTAAGCTGACTTAATACTCTTTAAACACGTGGCCTCTAATGTATATCATGTTAGGTATGTATTGAGCTGGGATTTATGGCTGGCAGAGAAGATGCTTGCCAGGAAAATGTTGATGTAGTCAGTCCTCAGCAGCTTTTTCAGATGGATTCAAGGATGTCTTTACATCCTATGAGCTAACATGTCAGTGCATCACACGTTGGGATAGTTCCCTACGAAAGAATTTGGTCTGGCCCTTCTGATGTGGTATGGTTCTATCTTTTTCTTTTGAGTTCTCTCCTATTCGGTGCTTATGATTTAATGTTCATGTTTGCAGTAACATCCAGTGAAAACTCAATTTGGTAACTCAGTGAAATCTATAAAACATATATTCTCTTGGAATGTTTCTTTCCATTTCAATTAAAGCTTGAATTTTAAGCTGTCTTAATCACACTGTGATGAGTAAGAGCCTTCATTTCCTGACCTCTTGCGATGTAGGGATGGGAAGGGAGCTCAGTGGGGTAAGCAGGTGAGATCAGACCCTGATCCTGGCTTTGCAAGAGATGCAGAAAGGTCAAGCTTCAAATCTCCAGGGGTTCCTCTTACTTCCAGCTGAAAACTGGGTTTATTTTTATGATGAATTACTTATTAGAAAGCCTCAGTCTGAGCACTGGTACTCAAGGCTGTTGTGACTGTTACGTGTTTGTGGAATTAACTGACTCTGGATTCAGGGCGTCCCCTTTCGTCACACTTGCGTGTTGAAAAGAGAAACTTGGGAGTCTGTTTCTGTGGTGCAGGCTACAAAATCCCCTCTTTAAAATGCTGACAGTTTTCTTGTTATAGCCAAGCAGTGCAGTGGTGTCAACAGTTTGTCCTTACTCTGGTATTTGAGCACCTTGCAACTGGGAGAGTCTGTTTGTGCAGTAGGATGTATTCACGCTCCCTGTGTGGGAAAGCGAGGGCACGGGCTGGACTGACAGCGCTGGGGCTGCATGGAATGAGGTGTGTTATACATGAGTTACTGCAATGAGACAGAAAGAATTAAAGGGAAACAATCACACAATCTTTTTGATTCTGTGAGTTTGAAGCTGCCAGCACCGCGCTGCTTTTGCACTTGGCTCACGGCATGTCCTCCCGCTGCTGGTGTGTCTGCCGGTAGGAGAGCTCCATGTTCTCACAAGCAAAGGAGCAGTTTTCTGAGCAGGGTCTTAGCAGGAAACAGAGAACAGGCAAGTCTGGAAATCCTTCCAAGACCTGCGACTGCCCAAGTTTGGCTCCACCAAAGGCAGGAGGCTTACAAGTCAAGGGTGAAACCAGATGAGCTTTATACGTGAGTGCATGTCTGTTCCTGAGAAGCTCTGGATGTTCTCTGCAGGCCAAGGAAACTCTGTTATGTTTTGCTAAAACAATAATAAAAAAAGTGGAAAAAGTGCTTCCTGTTTGTTTGTTCGATTGCCTGAAAGCATCCGTGGCTAATCCATCATCCTGGTGCCATGGAAAGGTGAGTAATGGCCCATGCTTTGGCTTGTCTGTGCTGCCTGCGAGTTATAGACTTCTCTGTCACCTCTCTCTGTTCCAGGCTGAAGCGTCTGAGGTGTTCAGCTCCTTGGGTGGAGCTGGTGGGTACCATACCTCCTCCCTGACACCCAGCCTGGACCTTTCCTAGCCCTGTAGTGCCTTTCCCGAGGTGAATGCATGCCAGAAGCTTTCCTCCTTTTGCTGAATTGAGAGCATAGAAAAAGTGCTGCAGATTCAGAGGTGAGTATTTTGGTGTCTAAAACCAGGGTTGGCTGTTTATGATGGTGTTCTCCATCCTTGGGGAGAGCAGGAGGAGAAGACAGGAGTTGTGCTGTAGCAGTGACTGTAGTGAGGTTTCAGCTGTGCCCTGGGAGAAGAGAGATGGGATCGAAGGGATACACTGGTTTGTGTGTTTCGTGTTCAAAGCTCCGTGCGTTGTTCGTTCCCCAGGAGACCACTAGAGTTTGGTGGTCTTGTTTTAAGCAGGAGAACAGGGCTCCTCAGCTCCTGAGCGAAGCGTGGCGCTCGCTGCCCGTCCCACGCTGGAGGCGGTGGGAGCGCTGGGAGAGCAGCAGATGGCACCCGAGCCTCAGCCCAGCATCGCCGCCGGTGCTTTCCGCAATGGAAGCGCAGCTATTCCGGCTCTCAGTCCTTGAAGGAATAGGTGTAATCTTGAGCCATAAGAAGCGGCTATAGGAGCTTGATTTACATGCTTTGGATGTTCTTCTCTGCTCGCAGGTCCAGATTGTATCTCTGCTTGTGCTGATTTGTCCTTACGCAGTGTCTGGACTTGAGATGATAAAGAAAAAGTGTTACTTCTCCCTTGCAGAGACTGACCCCTAATTTGCTTGGATTTTCCTCCGGTGGCTGTGCCTTTCCACACAGCTACCCCAGAGCACAGAACCAAGATTAGTTCTTTAATCAGATAATTTCTTTCCCACCCCCAGTCAAACTGAAGTGAGCAAATTGTGCTCGCACTGAGAAATGGACTTGTAGATGTGGATAGTGAAAAGCACAGCTCAGTGTGCTCTGTGCAAAGAGGCAGCAGCCAGACAAGTACAAATGAGTCAGAAAAGGAATATTCCAGTTGAGATGCTGTAAAGATAGTGCATGAAGGTGGTTTTAGTTTGTTTAGTTACAATGAATTCAAAGCTATTCTCTTATTTCCAGGCCCATTTGTATTTGAGACAGATCACAAACTGAAAGCATGTCATTACTGTGACACAGGCAAACCCAGCACTTTCAGGAGCCTTTTGGTAGGTGAAGGATGCTGTGTATCACAACTGTAATCTTACTTTGTTTATTAAGACCCAACAGAAGTAATTCAAACCTCCTGTCACCGCTCAGTGGCAGTGAGTGCTGTGTACATCTGCTCGGATGTGAGCTTGTGTTAACAGGCCAGAGTGTGGCAAACTGGAGCATAAATTGTCTTGCAAAGTAAGAAGCCTGGCTCTTGCACAGACCTGAGTCAAACTGGGGGCCTGTGGTGGTGTCCGTGCACATACATGCATTTGAGGGCTCTATTTTAGGTCACGTGGTGCTCTTTGGTGCTCTGCTCCCCATGAATTTATCATTTTCCTCCCTTGCTTGTCTTTGCTTAATGTAAACTGGACTATTGTGTTCCCAGTGATGCTTCTGAAGCCTCTGGGATGGGGGCTTATGGCCTGTGTCTGCTGCTCACTCGGGTTTTGCCCTTGAGCAAGACACCCAGGATGGGTTTGCCCAGGAACAGTGAGGAACTTGCCCTGTTCCCTGTTGAACAGCCCAGCCTCAGGCTGGATGTGCCTGGACACCCCCTTATGGAAAAAGGGGAGAAAAAACTGCTTCTGAGGCCCTAGCTGTATCCATGTGAGATCCATATAAATACATGGACTTCTGTTAGCAGCTTGACCTCTCTGGCACTGTTTTTGCTCTGCAGTGAAGAGGTGCGCTCTTTCTTCCACTCGTCTGACTCCTGTGTAATAGAAGGGCTAAATGCTTATTACCTTTCTGTAGCCTTTTCCAGTTGCCAATCAAACGTGTCTGGTTTGGGGTTTTGTTTTGTTTCTTTGTTGCTGTGACTATGCAGGATGCTCTATCTCGCTGTAATTATGGTTCCATCATTGTCTTGGCATGAAAACATCTGCTGTCTCCCTGCGATCTCCACTTCTACTGTTACTTCTGAGAGTTTCATGGATCACAATGACCTTCTGTTTTCCATAACATCTCATGCATCTCCTCTGTTTGGTTTGTGGTACCCTGCCTCTCCATTTACCTATTTTTCCTACCAGCATCTCCAGTGCATTCAGGATTTCAGCTCATCTGCTTGTCAAATCAGTATCTCGCTTGCCACCATCTCTGCACTGCATCCGCTGTAAGTGCAGGACCCTTGCACCTGACTGCCTGGGCTGTTTTCTCCTCCGAGCTCAATTCATCTTCCAGCCCGTGTCTAAAGTCTTTGTTCTTCTCATTTAACATCTTAAAGTTAATTTTCTCAGCCTTT